CCTCAGTCTTCGGATCTTAGAAGACCCACAGACGGATGACATGGACACTGAGATGACGAACATAATTTCCACCATCAATCACCTTCAAACAATAATGAGATCTTCTTAGATATCTCTCATCTCACTAAGAAAAACAACAGAATTGCACGAGCATGTCTCAAATACTAACCCGTCAAACCAAGGAAGGCCAATAAACATTCCTCTTTGAAAATCTTCCTCATTACTTTTCAACAGGATCATTCAAAATAAAAAAAAATCCGATTTTGATGACAGACATGCTTTCTGCTGTGTATTTACTGCTGTTTCACAGACTTTCATCATTACTGTACACGATATTAAGCATAATGAACGTAAATTACTATTGGTTGTTGAAAGTGATGGCGATAATTTATCACAAAGTCACTGAGTGACAAACTACACAATGGAATCATAAACACCTATATTGAGAATGACATTAAAGCAGAATTAAGCAAGGCCTATGTCATACACAATGTTATGAATTTTATGACATAGAGAAATGGGGAATTTCCTGATACAGGAACAGTCCTTGTCACCTTTATGGACAGCCCTACATAGAGTATACTCATATGGATTTAGGGAGTTGACCATAGTGTATATACATACTCACCACGCCCACCTCAGTACACTAAATGTAAAATATACAGTCATACTTAAGTAACCTATTCAAAGTGGCAAATGCTCGGAATGACTTTATACAAGAATGTAGGAAAATCACTGTTAACTGCCCAGATTGATCTAGTGAACATTAGGTGAATGACAACCCATTTCCAACATACTTTCACAGATTTCCACCCAAAACACAAGTAAAGAAACTGGTAGGACATACAGAGACGTCTTAACATGCAACCATGACTATCTCTCTCATTCTTTGCACAACAAACCAACTCAAACTTCAACCAAACTAACTGTATCCTCATATAACCTCTATCCACAAACAAATAGTCGTCAGTCCTCAAAGGTCCTCCAAAACATCCACCTCTACAAAGATTTAGCCTGTGTACTAGCAGTCGAAATAGAAAAAGTACTCAACAAAATCCTAATTAACCTTATGACTCAGCATTCTCAGCCCACACTGACAAACCTTCCCACCAAACCTATAAGTACTACAACTTCCCTACATTTCAACACACAAATAACTCAAAAGACAGACCGGCAACAATAATCTTCCATTGTTCACACCCAACTCACAGTCGTGTGGAAAATTAACCCCCATTGGCACACTCTGTGGTGAGGCTGATAAATCAAGCTCCATCACCACAATACGCAGACATGAGTCAGTCACTTGCATCATTTCAGATAAACGCAGAATCACTACACCTAAACGACCACTTGCCTAATATGATATGGAACACCAAAAAAGTTTTAAAACATTATTATCAGAATTTTAAAAATACCCATGTTCGTCGAAAAATATACCGTTCATAACCGAGTTATGGTTAACACCTCAGCAAAATCCGATTTTTAAACCTCATTATACAACGATGTGACAGACTTAAATCAGCTGATCCATAGTGGTGCGGTCATAAATCTGCCGATCCTATTAAAAGCCGTAGTAGACGACCAAATTATAAAGATTTAGTTCATAAGTTAGTCCGCGATAATTAAAGTGGTGTTAGAAAATTGTATATAAATGAATCTGTCCCCAGTATTACGTCTGATGACCATAGTAATATAAGGTCAACAGCTTTGACCCTGAACACTGGAGGGGCACAGAGATAAAGAAGACATAGTTATGTATGACATATGCCATCAGACAAATGTTTGATAGCACATATCAGATACTAGGAATAATGGTAGTACGATAGTGGATAACAAGGAGTTGAAAAATTTCTGGCTCAGTTTATTTACCAGGTCTTCAGAAGATAATGGAATTACACTTAAGTAGTAGATGGAAATTGTTGTCACGTAGGATTGCTTGTGGATGGAAGAGTTGGAACAAGTCCTGATGTCTGTCGTTAAGAGGACGGGGGTTGTCTGCCTACTTTGCTGCTGAGCTGCACACACAAAATATTATATATACTGATACTGGTTGTGGGAATATATTGGTATAACAAAAAACTACCTCTGGTGTTGTCCTTTGTCTTTAATATTTCTTGATTGGTCCTTTACTGGTAAGCTTACGGTCAGATACTACAGGCCTTCAGATTGTATCAGTGTTCGTAATATACAGCATCCTACTGAACTGACCGGCCTCATCTTAGCTAATAATGGCATGTATGTTATACAGGCAGTGGAGGATGTGTCGTGACCTGGCGAATGCATAATCGCTTAGGAGCCCCACTGACCGTTGACATATGGAGGGAGAAAGCAAAATTTACGAACCGTCAGAATAGCAGACACAGAAATACCTTTTTATTGAATATCTAAGGCTAATAAGACAAAGAGGTCTTCATAGAGAAACAGCGCTCGTCAGCGTAGCCACAAGAGGAGACATAATGTGTGCGAACTAACTCACTCCACGTTTTAGCACATGAAACGCATGCATACCGCTACTAAGTGAATCATGTCATCACCGCTACAAATGAACCCACTAGATTTATGTTCCACCTACAGAGTGTCTCATCCCACCTACAGATCTTTCAAAACTGTGAAAATCAACTAAAAGTTCCGCCTATTTCTCCCATGGAACAATGTTAACCCAAATTAATTAACTCACCTTGACAATGACACTCTCAAAACCTCAACCAATAAAGCAAGAGTTTCTGATTTTACTTACAGTCTCTCCAAGATACAGCAAATTTATAACCTTTGTGACATCTACATTGTGGATTCCTCGCTTCCATCTCAAAATGGGATGAAAAGTACTCAAAGATCTCTGTCTTCGTAGGTGACCTGTATGTGATTTATCTGGCCCTCACATTAATTAACAAGCTGCGGGTTGGCAATTATACAGTTTGTAGCAAATTGAAAACTGCTATCCAGGCTCTTACATATCACTCCAAAATCTGTTTCAAAACCTGCAAAGAACCTGTATATCCCTGCCTCACCATCCTACATTAACAACATTCTCATGGATATGACATATCATTTCACCGGGTACCCGCACACTGCTGAACTTCACACAGTGAAGATAAGATAAGATAAGATAAGATTTCGTTCGGATTTTTAACCCCGGAGGGTTAGCCACCCAGGATAACCCAAGAAAGTCAGTGCGTCATCGAGGACTGTCTAACTTATTTCCATTGGGGTCCTTAATCTTGTTCCCCAGGATGCGACTCACACCAGTCGACTAACACCCAGGTACCTATTTGCTGCTAGGTGAACAGGACAACAGGTGTAAGGAAACGTGTCGAAATGTTTCCACCCGCCGGGAATCGAACCCGGGCCCTCCGTGTGTGAAGCGGGAGCTTTAGCCACCAGGCCACCGGGCCACCATAAATAAATAATGAACTAGCCAAGTCGATGTAAATTACAACATTCACGACACGACTGCCAGCTTCACGTCTTACACGTGAAGGTACTCTGAAAATTATCATTATAAAGGATTTCAGTGAAAATGGGAAATGTCAGGCATGTGAATATACTACGAAACTGTTAAAAAAAAGTTAGGGTGTGTAAACATATAAATCAAGAGTACTAGACACATCAGTAGCCAGCAGCCCACAGCAGCAGGTACAGAAATTATATTAATGAAAACTGCGTTCATAGCAATGTTCCAGAATCAATATAACATTTTCTTCACTGTTACTGGATCACACGGCAAAAGTCATCTTTAACAAAATCTCACCACCATCAAAGTCCTTTTCACCTCTGAAAATATTTTTGAAAGTCGGATCTTCCCACTACACATAATGCAGAATATAACTATATCATCAACCCAATTCCTACGTACACTCAGAGGCAGGATGAGAACTATTACGTTGCTTACCCACATCGAAATGAATTGACAACAACAGACATCACAGAATCAACACAACTCAACATTACAAGAAGCAAAGAATGCTTGACCCTCGCTGTCGCAAATAGGTGAGCGTCGCACTTCACGAAGAATGTAATAACATGAGGATAGAATAAGAGAGAGAGAGAGAGAGAGAGAGAGAGAGAGAGAGAGAGAGAGAGAGCCAATGAGCTGATGTAGGTAACAGCTCTTAGCTTGCCAATAAAGTTAGGAATCCTTAACCTGTAAATAGCTTGTCAATAAAGCTAGGGATCCTTAACCTTAGAGAGAGAGAGAGAGAGAGAGAGAGAGAGAGAGAGAGAGAGAGAGAGAGAGGAGTCAACTACAGAGGACATCGCGTCTTACAAGACAGGGCGGCTTATTCTCTCCTGAAGAGAAAATTACAATGATAAATGACTGTGCTGATTCATCTCGCAAGATCTTGACATTATTAACTGTAATGGATCATAAAACACCAGGAATGCAACGGACCACTTTTGATGTTAGTAATCTAACAATAACCATTGCTGAAGCGAGTAATGTAACGCTGACAGCGTTACATTACTCGCTTCAGCAAGTAACGCTTCGAGTTGATGTCAACTGCTGTGTCAGTTCTGTAACAATGACCGTTGCTGATGAAGATAATGTAACGCTTCGAGTTGATGTCAGCTGCTGTGTCAGTTCTGTAACAATGACCGTTGCTGATGAAGATAATGTCTGCTGCTGATAACAAAAATATAAGAGTGACAAGGGCTGATATTTGTTTTGTAACACTGACCACAGCTGTTAATGGAAATGTAACTCTGGTAACTTATGAATTCAGTAAGAGCTCACTGAAAACTGATGTCAGTAATGTAGCGCTGACTACTACTGTAATGTGAATGTAAAGCAACACATCTGACACTAAAATTGCAAAAGTAACTAGAGCTGACATCATAAATTCAAGTGTCGACACTTGTTTCTGTTTCTAATCAGAAAAAAAGTTTCTTAACACCGAACTTTTCCAGCTGATGACCCGCTAAATGGTTAAATGTTCAGCATCTGCTTGCTTGCCGTATTAAATAAATAAATGATAGCCCAAATCATTTGACTGTTTCCTCACCTTGCCTGAAGAGATCCAGTCATCAACGGCATCCACCTCCCGCTGAAGAATGGGGGAGTCTGCATCCCTGACGATGTAGCGCTCCACTAGAGGGTCACCTACTACACAGAATCTCCAGCTGGTACCGGAAGACTGCCGTACGTCACCTACACCTGCAAGAAACCACATGATAGAATGCATCTTCCACTTTTTTCGACAATGCTGCAACCTGTCATGGTTTCTGAATCTTTTGACAGTCTGAAAGTCAAGTGGCAAATTTCGTTAGCCAGTGTCATGCACTAACTTAATAAGTTTGAATGCAAGCCTCGTTCCTAGATCATTTATGTATACTAAACACAAATTTGGCTATGGGCCGATACCCCTCAAGGAAGGTTCCTTGATGTTGGTGAGGGGCTCTTGATTTAGGGAATTGGATCTGTGCTCCAGTTCCCCGAATTAAGCCTGAATGCCTTCCACATCCCCCCCCCCCAGGCGCTGTATAATCCTCCGGGATTAGCGCTTCCCCTTGATTATAATAATAATAATAATATGGGCCGATATTTAAAAAACTTCATACATTAGGCTTTGCAACTCATATATATAGCCAGTTTTAACTGTTCACCTTTTTCTGTAAATGAGCCAGTCACTGATCCACTAATAAGTGTAGTAGACTATCACCTATTCCCAACTGTAGTTTACTTAGTAATATTTAAGACGATGTACTTATAGAGGGTCTTGTGAGTGTCGATGTGCACTACATCTGTGGGGTCCATGTTCCAATTTTTTTTGTTAAATATTGCTGAAGAACCGAAGTTAATTTACCAGTGGAATCTTTTATTGCAAAATCAATAATAGTAGTAAATAGGTTATTCCCTTTAAAATTAACAGTATTGTCCATCATTAAAGTTTCCAATATTTACATTAAAATTTTAAGTATGGGTTAGTAACTGAATGCGTATGATTTATCTCCCTTTATGAATGTTGGACTAAGTCATCGACACCATGCCCAGCCCTTCTAGGGTAGGGTAGGTGCCTGAGCCGGAGCTTTCAGCTCACAAGACTGTCATTCCCATTAGCTCCCTTGGGGCGGGGATGGCAGTCCAGAGAGGTCTAGCTTGTGGCTAGGCCTGGGGACAGTTGGTCCCAAAGATGAGGAGGTACTTGTGCCTCCTCCCATGGGAGACTTAGGTCTCAGACACTCCCTAAAGAGGGAGCCAAGGCCGGGCCACCACTTGGAAAAGGCCCGGGCCGGGAGAATACCGGCGAATCTTTAATAATAATAATAATTGGACTAAGTGACTGGACGAGTTACTGCGGTGAAGTGATAATTGGTAAGCAATTTAGTACCAAAATTTCATCCGGTTCAGCTTTTCAATGAATTTTAATATTGTCGTCGTCATGAATTCACTAATATTATGTAGATCTGTTTCGCTTCCCGCCAAAAAAGTTATGTGACCTAGAAATACTGATTACGTTTTCATATATGTAAATAAAGATGGCAGTTACACTGAGAGCCGAAGTCATATCATTAGTAGAATATTAATTTAAATGTGTATGCATTAAATGTGTACAAATTTAAATTAATATTTATGAAAAAATCAACATGTCTTAAATCGAAAGTAAATTTCTTGCATACAGTATTCTGCAAATTCTTTGAGTTACATTATCTGTTATCCTGGGTTATTAACCCAGGATAACTCAAGAAGCCAAGCAGTGTGACTTTCATTTGTTATCCTGGGTTATTAACCCAGGATAACTCAAGAAACCAAGCAGTGGGACTTACACCTGTTATCCTGGATTAACAGGTGTAAGTCCTATCCTGGATTAATAGCCCAGGATAACTCAAGAAACCAAGCATGGGACTTACACCTGTTATCCCAGGTTAATAACCCAGGATAACTCAAGAAAACCAATCAATGATTATTTAGGTTAAGTTTGCTTAACCTAGATTGTCCTCAATTAATAAAAAATTACCAATTATAAAATCTCATAATACTACTGAATTAAGTAATACAGAAATGTTATAAAGACTTGTAGATCGTCAACGGATAATGAAGATCCACAGAGAGGATAGTGCAGTACACCGTCACGTAATTATTGTTCGATGAATGGTTTTGAAAACCGAGAAGTTGAAGAACTGAGACACTTACGCAACATATGGGAATCTTTACTGAAGAAACGTTTCACCACACAGTGGCTTTCTCAGTCTTAAACAAAGCAGGAACGTATAAGGAGAGGAGAAGTTTGAGGTAATCAGTCCCTCAGCCTGGAGTCGATGTGTTCAGTCCATCAATCTTGTGGAAAGTACAGGACAGGGCTGTATCATTGGCTTATATGCTGTAGTCAGGTGAGGCGAAGCAGGAGGAGGCGGGGTCACAGTGGAACCATCCACTAATCTAAGTAGGTCTTCGTCCAAAGTGTTGCCTACTATCGTGGGTTAATGAGAGACAATTAATTTCTTAACGTAGCAGGACAATTAAGAAAAACCTGCACCCACTTTATTACCACGTTAAAGAGAGTGTACGCTGACGTCTACGCCCAGACAACAAGAAATCAAGCATCCTGCATTGCTTACTGTTGAAATTTGGCAAGGAAGGGAAAACATTACTGGAGTCATTATATCTTTTGTGTGTCTGGAGACGCCCAGGGCAAGCGAGGGCGGCGAGAGGTGTCATAGGTTAGATTGCAAGAAGACATGGTACAAGGAGCATGTTACTCGTGCGCTGACCTAAACAAAGGAGCTATAACAGTGCGTCCTCGACCTTTTAGATAATCTCCTCAATATACGTGGTAGAATATTGTGACATTACCATGAAAGACAAACCTTGTGGAACGTAGTGTACCAGTGCGAGTGTTGCGAATTTCCAGACTGAGTGGAAGAGGTGGACATTCTTAAGGACACTTCAGCTTCTATCAGGACACATGGTGTATTCAACACCATAGCTCACACTACAAGAGCAAGGTAGGTTTTAAACCAACTTGTTATACAGGGGATCTGCGCAGTTCTTGTAGTCACAAGAGGTTTGAAACCGTCCTATAGACGGCAGTTAGGTGTGGGCTTTTGAGCCCAAACACGTAAGTGTAATTTCAGCATTCAGTTTCTGATATATACTGAATAACACCCTTTTGGGGTAATCATATACTTACATCTTCTTGTCATCTACAGCCCGAGGGAGTGGGAAGCACAGCTCCTCAAGACACATCTTTGGAGATGGCTGCGAAGGCGAGAGCTGTCATTCAAGCTAAGTACCATCTACAGTTCATTATTATTATTATTTAGTTTAGCTTGCCTCATTTCCCTAAAACGTGTTAGATGGTAAAAAAATTCATGTCATCTCTCCATCCTGATTTATGAAGGATCTCTTCTGTTCCATTAACAAGCTGTGCCTTTAGTTCCTCATACTTTTTCACCAGTTGGGATACTCGATGTTTAGAAGCTGGTTTTAACACCAAGATTTTCATCCACTACCAAACGGAGAATCTTGTCCAGAACGTGATGCTGACAACTGATAAATTGTGGTTTGCTAATCACCTTCTCTTAGAACATTAGTTGCAGTTGGACAACAGCTCTACTCTTTTTCCCTTATTTCCTCCTCCAATTTAGCAGACTCTTTGTATATTGACTTGTAAATTGCTGCTTGACTTGGTGTAGGAATGTCAGTGCCATCAAATGACAACTGTTTGCATATCTTGCTGGCTTTACTTGTTGATACTTTTGTGGATGTCACCAAATTGATTGCAACTTTACTTTTGTTGTGTTTTCTGGTTGGTGGAGTAGTACTTTCATCTTCATCTTCATACTCGCTCCCTTCACATTCACTACCACTGTCACTCGATGCATGATCGTAAGATGTTGATGCTCAGGCTGATTTAGCAGACAGTTTTTGTCTTTTTGAAGGATTAATAGTTTTTTCACTTGTAACTTGACCTGTAGAGTACCCCACTTCTCCTTTGCTGTCCACTTGAAGCTCGTACAAGTGTTTGTCTTCACAAGATAAACATTTGCCATTTATATAGAGTTGTCAATTAGTAATTTTCTGAGTTGCTAGTTATGATCAGTGATTAATATTTTTCATTAATTTGAGTTGCCAATTAGTACTTTCCTAAGCTGCTACTTATGAGTATTAACGCAGATATATGGTGATTCATAGGTTTTATTTAGGGGTGACCTTTTTCTGAAAACTGAGAGGAATTATGGTCTTTTTCATTATTTCTACACAAAAGTTCATTGATTTATGACACGGGAGATGAAGATTGAGACACTTATGCAGCATATGGGAATCTTTATTCAGGAAACGTTTCGCCACACAGTGGCTTCATCAGTCCTTACGCCTTCCTCTTTGTATTGGACTGATGAAGCCACTGTGTGGCGAAACGTTTCCTGAATAAAGATTCCCATATGCTGCATAAGTGTCTCAATCTTCAACTTGTCGGTTTTTCAAACCATTCATCACGACACGGGAGATGTTGTATTTGGAAAAAATCAAAGAAGTTATAACCCTAACGTCCACACACTTTACATTTCATATGACTGGCATATCTACACAAACTTTTATCTATTTTAATCAATGGAAAACTATCTTTAAAAAACATATAACGCGTAGGAAATGAGAGGGATTCAGGATCGATCCAGGAATGGGTGAATAAGTTCAGTTCCTTGGATCAAGACCTCCTCATTAGTATCAAGGCACTTTCCTTGATGAGCCCATACAAAAATGAACTGCAATAGATACCTGACTGATACTCTCTTGCCTTAATCTAGCATTGACAACGTCTTGTAGTCTGACGACCTCGCAAAAAATCACCAGACATATTTTGCCTTACGAATTTTAAATGGACGGAGGATCGATTAGTTCTTGTATTAACAGATTTGCTTCTACAAGCTCATATGTTAGTTTTTTATAACAGTGTGTATTGAATTTATTTTTGATAAACCACACTTATATTCATCATTTTCTTTATATATTGCTAATTTCCAATAACAGAGGAAATTTACAAAAGTTTAATTAATTTGCTAATAATTTGTGTCTGGTCTCACACAGACATGTTATATTCAGACCCGAGGTGATGCACAACACATAATGAGGATACAGAGTCAGACATTAAAATGACAGTAGATTCAATTTTTGTTGGTTTAATTACAGCGGTATTAAAAATAAAGACATATTATAAA